TCTTACGAGTCACGCCTGCTTTGAACTTCTGCATGTTTTCAAATTCTTCAACCACTTTGCTGCCGGAATATGACTCCATAGTAAATATTGTCTCAGTACCCATGATTCCTAGTGGATCTTTCATCCAGGCTCCTAGTGTAGAAGAGTGAGTTTTGTGAGTCACTGGGCTCCCAACAGTCTTGATGGTAGTACAACTGTCTATAAGAAACAAAAAACAAACGCGCGTCACCCCACGCAGCTGTAAGGATCAGAGTTTATAGAACATGTTTTCCATGCTGCTTCTTAACTAAATGACTACACTTTTGGATCCAAGGTGCGTCGAGAAGTTTTCATTCAAGCCGAGTGGCCCATCATGGCAGTGCTTATCTTTATTTCAGTATAGCATAAATGGACGACACTGTAAGTCCTCAATAGTTCCCAGCAGATAATCTTCCACCCTCAATAGAAGAGGCGCACTGTGAGATGGTAAAAGGCTTACTCAAAACAGACACAACACAGTGACACCGCTCGAATTCGGACTACTTGATCTGGAATCCTGCGAGCTAAATGCCATCGTGCTTCCCTTTTAAAGTCTTCAATGAAACAGAAATCTTAAGATAGGAAGATACGATATCATACTACTTGATAAGATAAAGAAAAACTAGGTAGCAATCTCAGGCTTACTTAATATACGAGACTCAAGCATTCTTATAGCAATCACCTACAGTAAAACTAATCAGGTTGAGCAAAGCTTATTATATATTAATATTAATAAGATGCGTATATCTTGAGGTGGCGTTGGCTACAAGCCTGGTGGTTTTTTGGAGGTCTCCCCGATCCCCGCCCTATCAAAATTGTTAGAGCTTTTTTATTGTGGCAAATAGAACGATGAAAATAAAACCACGTAGGTCGCTCTTGTTGATTAGGATTCATAAATGCTACAAATTCTATGTCAGTAGTGAGTAGAAAAAATACTGCACATCTACCTTACTTCAAGTGCTCTTTAGATTTCGTGCTGTATAAAGCAAGCCTTTTTCT